AGAAAAAAAGAAAAGAAAAAAAAGAAAAGAAAAGAAAATAAAATAAAATAAAAATAAAAACAGTTTGAATAAATAAAAAAATTTAAAAAATGTTTTAGCCATCATGATCACCCAGATCATATGACTTTTTTTAGTTTAATTATGTTAAACTTTTAATTTATAACATTCCTGAGTAGTCTTTCGGGTTGATTTTAAAAATTGATCCTCATTAGCAGATCAGGAAAGTGATTTTTGTTTTAATTTAATTTTTTTTTAATTGTATGAAGGGAAAAAAAATAATAACATTCTGATATATTTTTTAAATTTATAAAAAAAAGTCTTTATCGCAATATGAATCAACTAAAAAAATAGTAACATTTTATTTACTGACCAAACACAAAAAAAACAGGATACTCATTCTTTTCTTTCTCCTTCTCTCTTTTTTCACTTTCTTTTCGCTTTTCTTTCTTCTTTTTCTTTTATCTATCTGTTCTTGTCGTCTCTTTTTCTCTTTCTTCCTTTTCTTTTTGCTTTTCTTTTTTCTTTTCCTCATCTTTCTTTATCTTTTCTCTTTCTACACCCTTCTTTCTGTTTCTTCTCTTTGTTTCTTTTCTTCTTCTTCTTCTTCTTCTTCACTTGATTTCCTTATCTAATTCCTGCAGTCTCTTATCTCTGGACTGCCCACACTGCAGGTGTCAAAGGTCAGTGGCCTTTTTCGGACATATCCACTATGAGCTCAAATTACTTGGTGGCGGTTGTTGCAAAGCAGTTCAACTGGACATTTTTTTTTTTCAAAATATTTTAACAGTATATTTTATACTTTTTGTATATTTTATACTTTTCTCTATTTTATATTCTTTCTCTTTGCGAGTGTCTACGTGCATATGTGTATACAAACACGTGCTGAACCAACCCTCTACATTTTCCTGGAACTGATGAATTCTAATTTTGTCCTCCTTTCTTATTACTGAGCTGTATCATTTGTCCCTAAAACCATTCTTCTTCTTCTTCTTCTTCTTCTTTACCGTGCCCCTTCAGGGCGATTATGGCTCCCCACAATTTCCTGCTTTAGTGTTTCTTAGTAAAGTTTGTCTTTTAGCTATCTCTACTAATCCCTGTTCGGCCAACCAAATTCATTAGATGGCTTATTTGCTGCTTTCCTTTGTCCCTCTTGCCTTCCATGTACTGTGAGTGTCAGATTTTCTAAGCACTCTTTCCTCATTATGTGCTCTAAAACTTCATCTTCTCTCTTTTTTTAAAACTTTAGCTTATAAAACTTATACAGAAAACTAACATACAGAAAAAAAATCTATAGGTCTTTCATTCTCAGAAACCCCTTGCATCTTAGTGACATTATTGCCTTGCTTGTGCTAAAATGATTAAAAAAAGAAAAAAAAAAGTAATTTCAATATGGCTTCTTCACCATCTCTAGTTTTCAAATGGGCTGGGAATTTTTGCACGCACCTATGAACGAAGAATTGGGGTGGGGGGGTTGCTGAACAAAAATTTCTTGGCTGGCCAAGAAGAGATTCCAAAATAAATTCTGATGTTTGGTCATTTTAGGAAGTGTGTCAATTCCATGTTTATAATTTATTACATTTGAATCATAATCACGATCGAATTCATCAGACCTACAAATTCAAAAGCCTTGTATATTATATTCTTACTCTGTCCTGGCCATTGAGTTCTACCGGGATTATATCCTCTTGGGAATTTATTTATTGACCATTTACATTATCAATATAATATATATATATATATATATATATATATATATATATATATATATATATATATATTGTCATCCACAGACAGACTGCTTCTCTACATCATCACAGCTCATCAGTGTGGCTAGACATCTGGTTGCTTCTAGCTAGGATCGAAACCCTACTGAATTGGTGTCAGTCGAGGATTCTACCACTAAGCCGTTGCCGCACGGCAGGGATGATGGTGAATTTAAGCATATTTATTTTTAGATAAACACACAGTGACTGAAAGAACTCGATTCAATTTACCAAAGAGTCTTGCATTATTAGCTGTAATAGTCACGGTTTATTTTAATCATTTCACCCAAAGCAAAGCAGTAAAGCCACTAAGACACAAGGGGTTACGGAGTGTGAAAGAATAAGAAGAAGGGAAACATTATTAAGGAGTGAGGACAATAAAAGTCTGAGGCCCTCACCAACAAATTCAGGAGTTCTCTTCTTATCTGAATGATCAGAATGAGTTTTCCGAGCAGTCGTACATTCGTAATCACCATTAAACTCATCTAACTCTTTCCGAATCCTCTATACTGTCCTCAGTTTGACACCCAAACACTCTGAAATGTTTGTATGTTCAGACCCAACTTTTTCTCCCCCCCCCAGCTATGGGTTAATTAGTAAAACTTGTATCTCTAAATCATTATTGTGTCCAATAAAAAGTCTTCAAATCTAAAAATGTTTTCTGGTTTTAAATAAGCTGAAAACAGTGATACAATAATACCAAAATCTTTCAGCCAATTCATTCGCTGGTCTTCTTCAGGAGTAAAATCAATATGGACGATACCTTCTATCATTTTGAGATGAGTCATTATCATTCCAAGTGTTGTTCAAATTCATTTTCATTTATTTTTGTTATTTTTATTAATACCAAAATGTTTCAACCATTCCATTCACTGGCCTTCTTCAGGCTTAGAATAACCAAAAAATCTTCTTCAAAACTTACCAATTTCTTGACACTTAATCAGATTTTATACCAACAGATCCTCCAAAATGCATAAATTGGAAAAAAGAAACGGCCGGAAAGCATATTGTTATATTCCATGCTAATAGGAATATATACTTGAAAAACAAGGTGGATAAAATAAGTAAAGGTCTATTGTAAAAAAAACAGTACAATAAGAATAAAGGTAACAGTTATGCACAAGGTCATTGCAAGTCAATCCAGTGGTGAGTGCTACTATTGGAAGGTCGGTAGTTCTCATGTAAGTCTGAGTCGTACTCAACCGATCCAGCTAGAATATTTAGCTACCCCCATCATGAGGGTTGCATGTGGCACAAGGCCGGGTTTAATGTGGGATCTCCAAGCCCGTAGGCTTGACCAAAAATATTCCCTTTCAAATGCATATAAACGGGTTCAGGGTCAGTTTACCTCCCTGAACAAGATTCTGCCCTTTGGCGGAGCCTCGTCAGGGTTCCTCTCTGCCCAAAGGCAGAGAGTTCAACCATCTAGCTGGAACAGATCGCAGATAGTAGATCCAGCTAGAATATTTAGCCCCCTCCCCCCCACAAGGGATTCATGTGGCACAAGACCGGGTTTAACATGGGTTCTCTGAGCCCATAGATTCTCCC